GGAAAAATATAAGATTTATTCGATATAGGAATTATCTACCTTATTTAATGTGATATTTTTTCCTATTAGCTTCAAATTATTTCGAACCAACATTACATGTTTTCAATTGGATCACAACAAGTTTACTACGTTCCCAACATTTGATGATAATTCTATAGTTTTTCCGAACGTTAACAGGTTGGACTTATCAGCCAATCAAATTACTTCTTTACCAGATGAATCTCAACAAACACCGTTTCCAAATTTACAAGTCCTTAATGTTAACAATTGTCGAATAGAAAAATTACCAACAAAATTTCCATTTCCTAAATTAACGACTTTTCTTGCTACATCAAATTTACTTACATCTATTACTCCATCAACATTTGAAAATATGGAAGTGGTTGATATTTCCAATAATAATATCAATTTCTTACCACCTCTATTAGGAGATATCACAACAATTAAGACATTACTGATTGAGGGTAATTCATTTCGAGTTCCAAGGTATACAATAGTACAGCAGGGTACAGTTGCCATCATGGAATATTTACGAGGAAGAATTCCACGATAATTATGTACCAATAAAATCAATTGTTTCAATTAAAATTTATATTACATATTAACATATGAAAATTCATAAACATTTTATTGCATATTTATTTATTTATTTATTTATTATTAATATTTATATATTTACTGTATTACTGTATTACTATCCAACACATTATTTAACACATTACTTAACACATTACTTAACACATTATTATCATTTATAACGTAGAATTTCAAAACATAATAAAAAATATATTGATAATTGGACGATCGGGATAATTGCATTTTTATAGTTAAAAAACATGATATTGACTCGAAATTGAAGGGGAAAAAATATCACATTAAATAAGGTAGATAATTCCTATATCGAATAAATCTTATATTTTTCCTTGAAATTTTTATATAATCTATGAAACGCATCGTTAGAAAAGTAATGATTGTATTCAACCAAGTCTGTCATTTTTTTTAAAAATAATAATAATAATAATATATATATATATATATTGTAGGTGTAATTTAAATGAGTTCAGAACAATATAATATGCTAAAATATCCGGGCATCATCTAAACGGCATCACTAACTGCAATGATAAAGTTATAGATGTGAAATAAAGTTTTTACGTTTTATTAAGAGATTTTCCTTCAATAAATAGAAATATATTTTATTAAAAACATTTGCGAAACACAAATTTGAGTGATTGATATCTATATGATAAGCTCATTTTTTATAGTAAATTGAAGAGTAGACCTATTTCAAAACACATTTTTCAAGGGTTTCTAAAAGGAAATAGCTATACAAGTACTTTTCAATTTTCAAGTTTAAAGCAAAAAATAATAATAAATTTGAGAAGAATCATGTCTTCGAAATTGGTTTTTTGTTTTATTTTTATATAGTGCTCATATTAGAACCTCACTTTAATAAATTTCTTAAAAGTATAAGTATAAACTAACCAAGCCTACTTTTTATATTTGCAAACTACTAGAATTGTTAAAAAAAATATTTTAAGACTCAGAAAGTTTCATACTGACAAAGTATAAACGCTATTTTGTTTTTACTAATAATAGATTGATTATAATAGATCAACAAAAGATGCTAAGGCTAATAAAAAATAAAGCCCTGAGTTTTAGCTCTGTATTTTATTAAAATTCTAAATATAAATCTAGTAAGAGGTGACAAAACTAATAAACTGTTTATTAAAAAAATAGTGTGTTAATTTTAATAAAAAAAAATACTAATTATAGTATTGCTTTCTGTTTTTTTAGAATCATAATTTTTTTTAGAGTTTTTATCTTTCACAAGCGTAGTTATAAAGTATTAAGTTAGTAAGATATAACTTTAATTGATATTTTAATAAAGATTAAGCTTTTAAACTTTATAATAAATAAATTATTTAAATTATTAAAAATAAACTCAAAGTAGTTAAATTATGATCGAATATACAAATAATATTTTTTTCTTTAAGAAGTTGAATTTGATTATTAAATAATTAAATTATTGACCTTAATATACTTTAAAAAATTTATAAAATATATATTTGAGCTATTTAATTTTTTTTTTTTTTTTACTTTTTAACTATATTTAATAAAATTTTAATTATTTTTTATACTTGAGAATATATTAGTAAAGCTTATTAGACTTGACTTCAAGTTCAAATAGACAATATTTATACCTAGCAATATATTTATCTCTTGCTTTTTTGTTAATAATACTAAAATCTAATTTATTAATAGCTTTAACTAAAAAATATAGTTATAAAGTCTTTAAGAAATTCTATAATTTGTTTATAAATATATATATATATATATAAATTTTTATTTCTTTATTACTTTTGAATTATTTTGAACTTATTATATTATATTAACTTATTATATTATACAAAATAATGCTATCTATGTATTAAGTTCATTATTTTCAGATACTTCTAAAAATGTTAAATTATGAGTCTAGTCTAATTCAGTTCTAAGACTGTTCTAAACTCAAATTCTTAAATCATATAAAAACATGTAATCTTTAAATAGAATTTAAACAAGTATTATATCTTGAATTAGATCTTCTGAATAAGTTTATCTAATCAATTTAATTCTGTATTATTAAATTAATTTAAACTAAAATTTAAGTTCTATATAGATTTATTGTATTTTTAGAAGAATTAATCAAGACTCAGTTTCAAAAAACTAATTAATATTTCTAGATACTTCATCACTTCTGTAAAGTATATGTTATTTTAAGATAATTATAGACTTTTGGATCAAATAATTAATATTTTTTTCTAAATATTATTTTGTATTTTATAGTAATAATTAAATGTGCTAATAAGTAGTTTAGATGTTTCTATAACTAGAAGAGAAATGTATAGTTTAGCTCTATATTATACAAATAAATGAATAAGTTAACTAAACAATTATTTTTCAAGATTATTATTAACATTTCAAATTTTGATATCAAAATGTAAAACAATTTGATTAATATTTGCATTAAATCATAATTTTTTTTTGGTAAGCTAGCAATATTAATACAATATATTTTTATATAATATTCTATAAATTTTATATTTGAATATTTTGTATTTATAAAGTAAGAATGATTTTATAAAGGCTTTTCGAGTAATTTCATAAATTTAGTTAATTTAATTGTCAAATATAATATAAAGTATCATATATTATTAGATTAAAACTATATCGATAATAGCTATATCATTAATAGTATAGTCAAATTTAATAAAATTATTATATTTCTTGAAAAAAAAAAATTTAGTACAACTCACTTTTTAAAAATAACAAGCTTTTTGTTTTTATGAGATAAAATTTTAGATATTATGTAATTAAAATCAGTAATATTTTAATTTTTAAAAACAAAATTATATGTATTATAAATTTTATATTATATTAAGAGTTATATGAAAAAAAAAAACTC